CTTTTTTTAGCACTCTCCCAATTCTCCATCACAGATTTCCAAACTTTGGGATCTCACCCTATGAATCAGCCAATAAAAAACCCAGGGTAACAATCATTTTTCCACATCAATTTAAAATTAGTGCTTCCATGCACTTAGCTGACAGGAATTCAGTTTCATTGTAATTCAACCTATGACACACAAATATCCATTTTCTTCCAAAGACTGTAATTCTCTTAACCTTATATATGTCATAGTTAGATTATGCTGCAAGCTAATACAATCATATCGTATTAATATGATTAACATACACCATAACGAGTGGTAACATGAAGGCAAATAATCTTAGAGCTGCCTTCTGTAGGACTCTACCCCTCTGATTTAGTATCTGATATGGACCACTGACAGAGATAGAAAATTGGGTTATGTAGGTGTTGGATTTGACCTGGGTTGGAAACTTCCATTATACTACGAAAATTTCAGCTGTGATTAGTCACGGTGTTTTAGACAGTGAAACATCACTTAATACTAAAGCCAAACTAAGACTCAGTGATTCTCTCTCTCCTGCATGAGAAAGCTACTACTGCCAGAACCCACTCTCAACCAAAGTCCCGTGTCCCAAAAGATGTACAGTACATACAAACTCTTCTCAAGGCATCAGTTACCTGCTGGAGATGACATTTCGTTGCAGTTCCTGACGGTCAAAGGTAGCAAGGGCACAGAGACCACCATACACAGCCACATTGCTAGGAGATAACAGCTGGGGGTGGGGGGGACAGAGAGAGTGAGAGAGAGCTGTCACTGACTACTAAAATGGCAGAAGGTTGAATCAAGTATTCTACCCCAGGCCTTTCTTCCACACAGTGACAAGATTAGTCCTTGTCAAATTAAGCTCTCAGGCATTCACGCTGAGCCTGAGGAGTGACTGTCCACCGCTAAGAGAGCAGAAACCAATTCCAGCAGCCAGTCTTTTGCTTGAGCCACACAGATAAACAAATCTCACAGGTAATTCCTACGTGATCTAGAGGAGATCATTTAGAGAATCCAAGAATAGAGACTTTTTAGAAAACAAACAAGCAAACAAACCATGGTTCACAGCACCACCAAACTATACAGGAGTGCAGTGAGATTAACAACAGTATCTGAATTTTACAACCTAATACTTAGAAGAATGACATCCCCTCCGAGACCTGCACACCCTCTCGGTCCTCACCTCAGGGAAATCACAGTGATCAAATGATGCCAACAAGAAGCACTTTGCTGCCTGTTTGTACTTCCGAGCAGCTAGTTCGGCCAAGCCTAGGAACCAGAAGAAGTTAGTCCTTTGTTTATGACAGCATAAAAATTAGGAGAAATTGCAAAATCTGGGGATTAGGACAGGCCCCCACATGGTTGCTAGTGCCTTCACTACTGAAGTGAAACGAGACTCTCAGACAGCACCTAGCATCCTCTGTACTATGCTGACTCACACTGGCATCCTCTCTGAAGAAGCTTAGGAAGAAGAAAGAAATGGCAAAAACAAGTCAGCAGTTCCATCTCATCAGCTTTATTAAGTCTTGCATTTCTGGTGAGAAAATACAGTCTGTCAAATCTGAGAGAAAAAATAAACCAAGCGCACACTGTTGTTATAGAGCCCTATGGCCAGCTAACAGGTAGAAAGATGAGCAGACAGTACAGGAAACCGAAGGATTCACTCACCTGCTGCACATTTCAGTTTGGTGAGAATTGCCTGTGTCTGGCTGTCTCTTTCTCCTCTTTGCTAAAGGATAAGAAAAAACAGTAGTGAGCAAGCAGTACGAAAACCATTTTGATTACAACTGTCCTTGGGATATTTCATCCTAATCAACAACTTGCAAATCTCAACAGCAAGATAATTTCATCTTATTTGTCTTGGGAAATATGGCAAGAACTGAGGATGGGAAATCTCTCGGGTTTTACCATGAGTCAGATTTCCTACACACATATCATCGGAGAAAAGCAACAATGAATCTCAAAAGAAATAGTAGAGCAGCCAAGGAGGCTGGATTAGAGGAGGAACAGATTGTAAGATGAAGGGAGTCTTACAGGTAGCAAGCTGTAAAAAGGGGGAAAGGAAGAAATCATTTTACAAATCTGGGAAACAGAAAACAAAGGGAAAACTCATGCAAGTTAAAAAGCAGGACCTTACTTCTGCAATTTCTGGTGTAGACTCAGCCTTGCTTACATAGCTCAGAACGTGAGACCAATTCTGGAGGTAGACACTGACCTGTAGAGAGCCAGAAACAGCGTAGAATAGGCATGGATAAATGGTGCTACTTAGATAAGCGGTACCATTGCAGACACAAGAGGTGTAACCAGAGCACAGTACAGCTGGCCTTTACAGCAGGTATCAGACCACGTACCATTTCCTGCAAACCTTCCTACCTTGATCACATTGAGACACATGTTGATAACATGTTTAGCACTGGTGCAGTAATCACGGGCTCGCGAGTAACACTTGAGAGCGTTGCTGAGGTCCCCACAGTCAAGGTAATGATCACCTAAGTCATCATGGCCTCTCCTGGAGCACAGGAATTAAAATACCAATGAACTGCGTGCTCAGAAAAGGGACACGGTCAGTTTGTTCCAAACAAGTAACTCAACACACTGACCTAAGGCACTGAATGCAGTTGACATCCTGTGTTAGGTGCCTGGAGGAGCAAAATGCTCTTCCTTGCTCCAGCAGAGCCTTCTGCATCTCACCTGATACTCTCCTTGATGGAGTTCCCTTTGTAATTTTTCAGATCTGTGTCGAGTTTCTCCAGTTTAAGAAGAGCTTTTTTGCGTGTAGCTTCAACCCAAGCTGTGTCAAGAGGAGGGGGTTCAATTCCACTATCAGGGACAGCATCAGGTGTATTCTGCAGTTCTCTGAAAGGAAAGCATTTGAATGGGGCCGTTACGCTGCAAGCTTTTCAAAACAGAGGTCTGTTACATACCTGGAACTGTTACCCTAACAAACAGCACTGCAGACACAAAACAGACCAAAGAGGATGGTGGGGAAAAAAAAGGAAAAAAACTATTAAGATTTCCAGTGAAAACAGTAACATAAGCATCACAGATGTTTACAAATTCTTCTCAAAATTATCCTAAGGATCTTTTGCAGGTATTTTATTAACAAGCAAGTCATTGTTCATTTTAAGGAAACAACTGGCTCTATAAATCAATTGCAAGGAAGTTAGTAACAGTGCTGCAATAAATTATTACATTCTGTTAAAGTATTTAATGACTCTAAATAGTTGTTGAATCCAACCAAATATCTCTATATGGGACACAGTGTGCACATGCTTACAAGTTCTCCCCCCGGCTATACTGCAATGGCTTGACAGCAAAGCTACGCTGTACAGGTACTATCCAACTTCTTTTTCCTTCCAGCTCAGACCAACAAACCTACTTGCACTGAACTCACTTTCCAATATCTTAAGCAGAAAAACAGGTTCAGAGTGGTTTTGGGGGTTTATTTTGTTTGGTGTTTCTTTGGGGTTTTTTTTGGGTTTTTGGGTTTCTTTGGGTTTTTTTACCAACAGTCCTTTTCAGGTATAAGCAAGCAATGAACATACTGTCACACATACACGGTAAAGACTCCCGGGGCAAAACAGGCAAGAAATCAATAAATATGCATACCAAGAAATATAACGCAAAGACAAGAAGTGTGGATGGATAAGTGAAGTAACAAAGGCTACCCTTAACAGCAAACCTGTTGCTGGGTGGGGGGAGGAAAAAAACCCAAACCAAAACAAGGCAAACACTCAGATACGGCTTTAATTTATGAACATAAGAGCATCTAGAAGAGGCTTCATCTCCATAATCTACCTAAGGAAAGACAATTGTGTTCATCAACGTTTAAACCAGTTGTGAGGACTAAACTGTAGCCTTTTAAAACACTAAGACTTCAAAATGAGATCATGTCTTCCTTGCTTGATCTTTTAAAAAAGCACGAGACCTTAGGCCTGAACACACACACACACTTCACTGCTATCACATTCTAAGGGCAAAGACAGTTTGCATAAGGAACATGCTAGTATTACATGCAAAGTCCCCCACTGTGGCACATCAGTCCCAGCTCAGTCAAAAAAGCTCCCCAGGTTCCCGTGATCTCTTAGTACCTGGTGGCCTCAGTCAACTTTCTGTGGATTTCTTCGTACACATCAACATTGAAAGTTCTCTGGACAAATGACAGTGCCATCTTGAGAGCTTCCACCCGCAGCTGTGGGCAGTGATCAGCAATGAATTGCAGCCGCTCAATTCGCATCAGACCGCTGTAGCTGGACGCATACTGCTCCAGATCCTGCAAACAAAACCTGGTCTTAGAATGGCAACGCTAAATCAGGCTACTCCACTGTGACCGCACAGGTTTTTCTCCAGTCCGCCATGGAGGGCAACATGACTCAGGCAAATAAAGAAATCAGGTAAGATTATTCCATTTCTGCTTTCTTCAAACGTTATTAATTTCCTCAGAAATATGCAGTACGTTACAATTTACCTTTTTTTAATTTCAACTGTGATGCTGTCCGTTAAGGCTAATCAGCTCACCCACTTTAAGTATCAGCTATATCACCTGTTAATAATTTTGTCAAGATTGCATCATTTGAGCTGGTTTCCTAAACCAGACAACCATTCCAGATGTAGCTTTTCCTTGAAAAATAGTTTCCATGTGACAATTTGCATTCTTTTGCTCACACTAAATTCTTAAAACATCTCATTTGAGAACAAATAGGGTCTCCTACTCTTGAGGAAGGATCTCAGGTTTAATTTCTGAACACTTAACAGAATTTAAGCCAGGGGGTAGGGGAGGAGCACAAAACGTCTCATAAAGATATGATATGGCACTGCAGGAAGATTTCCTAAAGACAGAAGTACACATGCAAACAACCACAGGAGAATGCCCAGGGCAAAGTCAAGCATTCAGGCAGCAGAAAACACTAGATTCAGGTTGCCTGCCCACATTTAATATGCATCTTGTGTCATGTCCGACTCCCTCACCCCTCTATGTCTAGATTAAGATACCGCTATAGATGTCATGGTAGCATTTTCTAACATGATTGTTGCCTGATTCAGTGCAAGAATGATCTTGGTTTGAGACTGAAACAGGACTGTGCACACTGAAAATTTGCATCTAGGATTCCTGCTTTATTTGCTACAGAACTTGAAAAATATAAAGGTGTGAATATTCTTTCTTCCACAGTTTCATGCCTGATGGCGCACAATACTCCTGAAATCATTGAGTAATTTCACTTTACCCCTCAGCTCTTTGAATGTCAAAGGGGAATTATGGTCCTTTCCCGAAGTTATGGTGAAAAGAAAATAACTGATCTTATGGAACACTTAGATGCTATAGTAATAACAGACATAAGGGTCACAACATAATTGCTTCATCACTATAGCTTCAGAACAGAATTGCAATGCAATGAATTCAAACAATGTATCAGGTCGTATGCTGAAAAAAACCCAAAACCAACCAAAAAACCAAAACCACAAACAAAAACCCAACAACAACAAAAAAGAGGGCTGTGCAATAAACAGTGAATAACCATGCGACAACTGTTATAAGGCATGGGGACAAGAGGAGAAAATGAAAGCTTCAGAGGTTATGTGAGAACCACAGCTTCCTAACTGAACACTTTATTTTGCAATTTTAATGTTGCTTTAACATTTTTGTTCTCTTCTGCAACACCCATCTCTCACTGTTACAGAACTGATACATAAAAATTGGCCAAAATCTTAAACCATTAACTAAACATTGAAGAAACTGATATAAGCAAATACAGCCTTTTATAACTCTACAGCTCTGCAGGTTGTAGCCAGTCTCCAGAGGATCAAACAATGAAAGAATCCTACCCTGATTATATACTTAAAGCACCTGAGCCTTGCTCCTCAAAGAACAAGACTCAAAAGAAAGGAATGATGTCTCTGTAAGTAATGAGAGATGTACTAAACTATTTCAGAATGGAAACTGTGTCAAACAGGCAGCACACAGCAAGTCATAAAACAGCAATTCCTCCTTCATCTCAGAAGGCGCAGCAGAGATCAATACATGACAAGTTACAGAAGAGGTCACACCCCATCTTGCTTTGAAGAGAATCTACTCATCTCTAAATAACCATTTGACAAACACCAAAATGCAGGATTTTTTCAAAAACCCTAAAGGAAGAGGCCATGCCCAAGAAATGTAACCCACTAGCCCTCAACCAGCACATACCAGAGTAGGGTTCTCCACCACATAGTTGATATCAGGTGCATTTTGCTGATCTTCTTGTGGATCTACGTCAATCTGCATGGGCTCTACTGCACCCTAGAACAGTAAAATGAGGTAAAAAGTAGCTTATTATATTTGAGCAGGAAACAACTGTGTGACTCAATCTATTAAGGACTTGCTTAAATACACATTAAATTTTGAAAATAAAAGCCAGCCCTCCGCCTTTAGACATGTTTAGGATTTTTGTCTAGCAACACCACTACTCAGCGTGACGCTTCCTCCAAAACAAATGATGTTCCATTTCTTTTCCTTGAGCAAGAGCAGGCATCAACACTCAGCTCAAGAAGCTCCAGAAGTCAAAAAGTACTCAAAAGCCTCACCAAAACCTTTCAAAGCTGCTTTAATGCTTCAAAATAATATTTTTGGGGAAAAAAAAAAAAAAAGACAACTGTTACGCTTTTTAAAAGTCCTAACAAATGTAAAGAACAGAATGCAGAACGGCAGTTCCACCATTTCTAACAAATACTGGGGAAAAATTTATCTGCACTGCAAAAATTTGCCATCGGTTGAACCACCCTGCTGCAGTTATCAGAGTCCAACTGTTTGGGTAGATTCCCTTCTGCAGGAACAACAGAATTTTATTCTCCCAGTATATCCTGCACTGCTTTGAACCACATGAGGAATCGTACCAGTACAGTGACCTCACTACAACTGCATCAATACAATACCTGCACGTGTTCCCATTTAAGACCAATTTATTATGCAGTCCCACAAACAAAATTGGCATGCTATCACAAAATTATTTTCCTTCTCCTAGTCAAAATTGTGCTGAACATTCCCCCTGGGTATTACCCATTTAAACTCAGGAAAACCAAGCTCAATGTCCTTATAAAAAGCTGAATATGTGCTGATATTACCATAAACACCACCTGATTTAGGATAAATTGCATGGGCCCCAGAAAGGACAAAAATGCCAACCACATCGCCCCCCCCACCAACAAATTATTTCCATGCTTTTATTAATTTTGCTGTCTGTTAAGAAATCAAAGATAGAGGGGGTTTTGGGTTGGGTCAGTGCGGTCTGGTTTTTCTTGGGTTTGGGTGGGGTTTTTTGTTTGTTTTGTTTTTGTGGGGTTTTTTTGTATGAGGAGGAATAGAGCAGATCCAGATTTCCTAACCGCAAAAATTGATGCATCTGGTATTCACCCCCAGCCTGTCTATTCTTTCACAGACTGGTATGTACCAAATAAGCATCTATCTCAATTCTGATGTGAAATCTCCCAAAATATGAAGTAAAAGCAAGTAAAGCATATAAAAGGCTTTTTTGTTGTTTTTTTTTTCCCAGTCTGTTATCCTCTGCCTGAAGGAAGGGAAGGAAAGTTTGATTGTCCAGATCACCACTCAGGAAAACTGCGCACAAAACCATTTAAGTCATTATATTGAGACCATTATTTTTTCAATTTTAATCTACTTTATCTCTTTTCTTATATCACAAACACTAAGCCTCAGGGTTGCTTTTTTTAGGCTGTGTTTGCTTACCATAGTAAAAACCTGACACGGACTCCTTAGAAATCAGCATTACAGAAACTACCAGTGACTCCAGCTGGTGGAACAGAATGATGTGTGTCCTGCTACACTGGTAGGCTGTACTTTGCATTTCTCTCTTAACTCCCAAGTCAAGAAAAAACACAACAAATAGGCTGGAACTCCCACTAGGACACATGAACTCAAACATTTTCAAGCTAACCCTTTTATTTTGGAAGGAACATGCAAGGTTTACTTAAGAACTACTCACAAAGCAAACAGAATAATGCTCATTCTCCAAGATTTTGAGCCCAGAAGGGCGCCCTGCTGGAAGGTATCTCATAAGGCCTCCTACAAGCTGATAAGCTGGCACTCACACTGAAGTCTCCTGCTGTGTTCGGGAGGAAGAGGTGTGACCTACTGCTGGAGGGGCTGCAGTACAGATCTGTCACTGATGAAGAAGCTGAGCTGGATGCTGAACTATCCCTCATCCTGTCCTGACTTTCCGCACCCCCACGCCCTGACAGAAAACTTGCTGGCTGCTAAAGGGAAGACAGACAGTTAACTCACAAAGGGGTCACCGGCGCGGACACTGAAGGGCCAGGCTCAGTACACCGACCCCCTTCGGGCTCCTGCGGCTTTCACCCCGCACTGCAGACCCTCAGCGCCTCGCTGCACCCTCCTCTGCTACCCAAGCCCAACCCACGGCACGCACAACACGAAAATCAAGCAAGGGGGCCGCTGCAGCGGCGGGGCACGCCCCGGATGCCGAAGGACGCTCGGCTGGGCGCTGCTCATGGCGAAGGGCGGCGGAAGGGCGAG